TATCACTTTCCCTTTCTCTTTCTTTCTGTCTCTGTCTCTCTCTCTTTCTAGTGAGCACACATGTCTTATAGAAAAAATTTTAAATAATAATTTAAAACATTAAATTAATAATTCCTTAAAAGAAAAAAAGAAAAAAGAAATGAAATGAAGACCCTGAGAAGAAGTTAGAGTACATGCCGACTTTGGACAATGAGCCAAGGAAGACAAGGGTAACCAGGCATGTTTGTGCAGAATCCTCAACTTTCTCATCCCTGCTATGAGCAAGATTGTTGTATCAATCCCAAGAGCAGGGCACCGTAGGAGCTGGAATGGGGCCTGTCCGTCCTTAGTGCTGTTACAAATCACGAGCTGGTGTCGTAAAACGACAGGGATGAACTCTTTCACGGTTCTGGATGCCAGAAGTCCACGATCACAACATTGGCAGGACGTGCTCCCTCTTAAGGCTCCAGGGGAGGATCCGTCCCTGCTGTTTCCAGCTTCTGGTGGCTCCAAGCACTTCTGGCTTGTGGCCACATCACAACCACCTCTGCCTTTGTCTTTGCATGCCTTTCCTCTGCGTGTGAACAGACACAGAAAAAAAATGTGCTCTACTTTCCAGAAAGCAAAGTAGGTAAAAGCAAGGTTTGGAATTAGAGGTGGCATGTCATTGGCCACCTGAGTGACATTGGCCACACGTCTCCACGCTCTCCATGGAGGTGATGCCTGCCCCACTCCTGGCGTCGTTGAAGTATGTGCTGGTGCGACTCAAGGGTCTGGGCTCTCCTGTATCACAAGGAACTAGAACCAGCATAAAGCCTCACTACACGTGGACACAAGGACTAACCCGAGCCAGCACAGAAGCCTGCAGGAGTGGCCATCTTTGACCTGCAAACATGGCTCTGAGCTTCCTTGGAGCCACATCGAAAGAGGAAATGGGATCAGCTGTGGAATTATCCAGAATGAGGAAGCAGCCCAGTTCCTCAGGGGGAGTGACACTGTACTTACCCCGTATTCTCCAGAGCATTTCTCACTGGGGAAGGGGCTTCAGAAAAGGCACCCCGAGGGAGGCAGGGGCAGCACCACTGACCAGGAACTACACAGCATCGTAGGTGTGGTTTCCACGTGGCAGCTGTTTACAGACACCTTGGAGGAGGGACGCAGGGAAATCCAGGAAGGTCACTCCCGGGGGGACCTCCATGGAAGGATCATGAATGAGATGAAGTCTGGGCTCCCGGGATTCAAGGCTACGGCTTAGAAGGCTCAGAGCGAGTGGGAATTGGGCTGTTCACCTTTCAGGGGAGCTGGGAGATTCTTTCACTTGGGATCATTGGAAGTGAGATTCTGGAGTCAGGCTTCTTAGCTGTGTGTCCCTAGGCAAGTGCCTTTACCTCTCTGAGCTTCAGCTTTCTTACCTACAAACTGGAGTTCTCCTTACAGACCCAATGAGAGCACCGCACACAGTCTTACAGGACACAGCGCTGGCTAAATAGTGAGTGTTTAAATAAATACTTACTCCACCTGCATACATAGGGGACTAGAATAACTGAAATGTTTAGCTCTTTACAATTAACACCTGGCAAAAGATTCTCCATCATTTCACACGATGCTTCCGGCAATGTAAGGGGGGTGCAGAGGGATGACAGGCTGGAGCTTGGAGAAGCAACATCACTGCCCAGCACCCACCTCTCACCCACCCTTGAACCCAGAGACGGGAGCTACGCGGGCAGGTATACACTGGGCCTTGGACCTTCCCTGCTCCTCCTGCCTTCCCGGGAAAATGTCATTTTAGGACCGCGTTGAGTGGAAGCCTGAAACGTCACAAATAAGTTATATAACAGGCCCTGTTTTGCGGACTCTGTGACCTTTAGTCCTCACAACCAGCTTAGAGGTTGGAATTATTGCCTTCATGTTCACTTTGCCGATAAGACAACTGAGGTGTCAACGGGGAGAGGGGTTCCTGCAGACGCAGGACGTAGACGCAGCACCCTGGCGGGCTGGGAGCTCTGTGTTCTCGTCCGTTCTCTTCTGTCTGGGCTGAGAGCAGAATCGGGCTTGTGGCAGGGCAGAGCAGAGTTGAGAACAGACCCGCGACTTGGGCCTCCCTTACACTTCCAGGAGGAGCTGAGGGGTTGTTGGTGGGGGGGAGGAGGCCTGCACCCACAGGAAATGCCGACACGCCCAGTTTCTGGCAAGGTGAGGGGTGAGGGGTGGGTGGATGAACGTGCTCAGAGGACATCCGTGCCACCCTGAGCCGGCTCAGCCCAGCTCCTGTCAGAGATGAAGAGACCTGGCCTCTGACCCTGCTGCTCCTGGCCCGGCTGTAGAGCCAGACATGCCGCTCTCCGTGTTAGGTCGCATCTCTGCAGACGCCATGACAGTGCATGGTCCTGACACTCCCTGCTCCTCCTCGTCCTCCTCCCTGGGCTTAGACATCTCCGAGGAGGGGCAGCTGCCAGCAGTGGGAAACCCTGGCATGCCCTCCCTTCTCTCTGCCTTTCACCCCTCTTAATTCCTACTGTCCTTCACACTCTGCTCAGATGCCACCAGGCCAGGAACCCTGGGACCCTGGTGGGGAACAGCCTCTCCTCTGGGTTTCTTGGGACATGCACACTTGCTCTGGCCCCAGCACATCTCTCTGCTTGTGGCTGTGAGCTTGGTGGGACGGGACCTAGTGACGCCTTGCCCTGACCTTGTCTACACAGCCAGTACAGGGAGCGTGCTCGGGGTCATTCCCTCCTCAAGGACACACTTGGTGGCACCTGTCGGCCTGAGCAGACCACAGTCCCAGAGGCAACGTGGAATGATGGTTGAGAGCCCTGGCTAGGGCTGGCCCCCCGCCTAGTGGCTAAGGAAGCTGGATCCCACACCGCCAACCAGGGTTTGAGTCCTGGATCCAGTGACTTGAAAAACGCACCGTGAAGAGATGAAGGAGAAGGGATGGTGGCCACAGCCCATGGGGGGTGCTTTCTCTGTTTCTGTCCCTCTTTGGCAAGTGCCCCCTGGCCATTGGGGGAAAAAAAAAAAGAACCCAAATTCTGCAAACCTAATTCAAGTCCTGGCCCTCCTGCCCTTCACCCACTACCTCCATGCCTTGGGCAAGGGACGCTGTCTCCCCAGGCCTCGTTGCAGCCTCTCGTGGGCTCAGCCTGGTTCCTGGCACACATAAGAGCTCAGTGGGTGCCCCCCATTATTGATAGGTCTCCTCCAATCAGGGCAGGGCAGCTCCAGTGTCCCGGCCTCCTCCCCATAGGCCATTGCCACAGGAAGGCCTTGGGGACCCCACAGTGGGCAACCCTGGAACATCCTCCCAGCGTACAGAGCAGGATGGCATCTAAACTTAAATTCTGAGTCTCTTGAGAAATTTCCAAGTAGATTTTATTTAATAAGAGCAAAATAGGACTTTCATGTAATAAAATAGAACCTCAAGCCCATAAGACCCAATAATGAATTTATGTACAGGAAGGGCAGCGTTACTCATAACGGAGCGTCGGTCGGCAGCCTCGCCACGCTGAAACATCTGGCTTGGAGTCCGTTTGTCAAGATGGACTTGGGGATAGACAGGGCATAGGCCCTGAGGAGTTGAGCCCTGGTTTCAAATTCTGAAACCAGGCTTAATGGTTACTTTGCTGGACTCCCACATAGCCAACTGTGGTTTGAGTCCTGGGCCCAGTAGTTTAAAACTCACGCCAGGTACATGTGCGTGCGTGCCTAAGATCCTGAGAATAGAGGAGACGGGATTGTGGTGTGGCCATCGCCTCTTGGGTACAATGTCTCGCTTTCTGTCTCTCTGCTAATTGCATGCGTCCTATAGCAAAATATCTCTCTTAAAAAAAAAAATCTGCTCACTGGGCACCCTTGAGCAGTCACATGACCACGAGTATTCTTGGAGGGCTGGCCAGCACCAGGCTAAAGGCTTCACATTCCTGACGCCTTTGGTTCTGTCGTCCACTCCACGAAGTGAATATTCCCATTTCACCGATGAGGAAACTGAGGTTCAGAGAGGAGAAAGCATATGCCCAAAAAGCCACACAGTTGGTAAGTGGCCAAGGCTGAGTTGAAACCATCCACGTAGGGCTGGCAGGTGGCATAATGGTTGAGGCACTGGGCTCCCACATAGCTGACTGTGGTTCGAATCCTGGACCTGGTAGCTTGCTTTCTCATTCTTCCTTTCTGTCTCTTTGTTTCTCTCTGCTCAAATGGACTTCCAATAATAAATAAAATTAAATAATTTTTTAAAAAAAAACAAAGGGGGAAAAAAGAAATCATGCACATGACCATTGCTTCCAAGACCTCGTAAGCTTGCAAACTCAATCAGACCCTCTGATTATCCCTCCGCAGACTGGGAAAGCACCCAGCAAGGTTGTTAGGGGGCTTCTGAGAATACAGGTAAACCATCTGCTTCATGGCTGTCTGTGTCTGTCTACGCATGTGAGGCAGGGCCTGCATCTGAAGGTGGTGCTGTAAGGAGAGGCTGTCCAGTGAGAATGACACCTCTTTCTCGGAGCCTTAGTTTCCACATTTCCTAAAACTGGAATAACAGCACCTGTCTGCAAGAATCCCCGGGAAGATGAAATAACATGAGAGAATTCAAGTTTTAGCACCTAGTAGGTGCTCCGAGCAGTTCCTCTCTATCTTGTCTGTGCCCAACATGCCTGGAATGGTGTTTTCTGGGTCCTGCCCTGGTGGTGGATTTGCACGAAGCCATCCACACCCCTCCTCTGCCCCTTCCTTTAACCACTCCTGCTGAGACTCTCATCGGTGGGTGTGCTGGAGGAGAGTGGCTGGGGTGGAGGGTCTGGCAGTTGATCTGGGCAGAATCAGCTGATCTAGGTTCAAGGGGCCCCACCACTTCCTGGATGGGTAATCTAGGCTGAGTTCTGGGCTCGGCCTCTCCAAACCGAGTCCTCTTCTGTAAAATGGGAGTAACAAGGACAGACTCTGTTCCTGCTCTGAGCCCACTAAACCCTCTGGCTCATTCTTGGATCTGAATCCAACTGCTACCTCCATTTTCTTCCCTGTAGGTGTTTCCAGCTGTGCACAGGGACCTATCGGCCGAGGACTCGTATCAGAGCACTTCGGACACCACAGTGAACGGTGAGAGGTGCTTGTGGTCTGAGCTCATGTCTTCAAAGGGGACCAGTGACCGCTGGCAGGGTGGGGGCACAGGAGCTTGCCCGCCCAGCCGTCCCCTGGGGTTGGTAGTGTGGTCACAGCCAAGTTCATGGCACCTGCCTCTCCCTCGTTGCACTTGGCCTTGGTGTGCTCTTCCCATCATGCGAGGGTCATCTTTTCAAAGTGTTTTTATTCTTTTTTTTTTTTTTCCAGAGAGAGACAGGCACATCAACAGGGCCTTCATAGCCCTGACGCAGCGGCCTGGATCGCAGGCACGTGTGTATGTACCTGGCGTAGGTCGGAAGACCTCTGGACACGTCCCGTGGGCCTAGCATTGCAGAGCCCTGCCTTACCACAGAGCCGCCGGCTGGCCCTGCTGAGGAACTTTTTTTTTAAGAGAGGTTTTCTTTCTTTCTTCCTTCCTTCCTTCCTTCCTTCCTTCCTTCCTTCCTTCCTTTCTTTCTTTCTTTCTTTCTTTCTTTTTTTGCTATAGGGTGTGTGCGCTCACCAGAGAGACAGAGAGAGAGACAGAAAGTGAGAAATCACCCCCCAGGAAGGGAATGGCCACGCCACAGTCCCTTCTCCTCCATTCTCCTCTCGGGATTTTGTGCACGCGCACACGTGCCTGGTGTAGTTTTACATTGCTAGTTCTGGGACTCAAACTGTGGTCAGCTATGTGAGAGTTCAGCAATGAAACCATGATGCCAGCTACTGGTCCCAGAGGAGCTTTTTGAATAATCATGTCCCCCACAAGACTGTAGGCAAAGGGAGGGTCTCAAGAAAACAGAAAACATGGTCGTCAAGAGGACGGACTCTGAAGCTTGTGTCTGAATCCCAGCCCTGCCCCTTCCTAGCTATATGACTTAGGGCGAGCGACTTAAGCTCTCTGCCTCGGTGTCCTCATTTGTAAGATGGGTTTGTGACCTCCCTACCTCCTCGAGTTGTGAGAATCAGGAGAGTTTAGATACAGGAAACCTTTAGAACAGAGCCAGGCTTACAGGAGACACCAGAAGGGTGGCCTGGCTCAGAATCAGGGAGGACATTGTCCGCCAACCTCTCCAAGCCAGCTCAGTCAAGGTCGCCCTAATGGCCTCTGTCTTTCCTTGCAGGACATGGAGGCGGAGGACTACAACGCCTCCGTTCCCTACGAGGATGACTACAATGATGACTTTGACACCCTCCTGGTTTTAGAGGAGACCTCTCCCCTGGAGGTCAGGGTGGCCAAGATCTTCCTGGTGGTGGTCTATAGCCTGGTCTGCTTCCTCGGGGTCCTGGGCAATGGCCTGGTGATCGTCATTGTCACCTTCAAGATGAAGAAGACAGTGAACACCGTCTGGTTCCTCAACCTGGCCGTGGCGGACTTCCTGCTCAATGTTTTCCTCCCGCTCTACATCGCCTACACCGCCATGGACTACCACTGGGTGTTTGGGACAGCCATGTGCAAGATCAACAACTTCCTGCTCACCCACAACATGTACACCAGCGTCTTCCTGCTCACCGTCATCAGCTTTGACCGCTGCGTCTCTGTGCTCCTCCCCGTCTGGTCCCAGAACCACCGCAACATCCGGCTGGCTCACATGACCTGTGCAGTTATCTGGGTCCTGGCTTTCTTCTTGAGTTCCCCATCCTTCATCTTCAGGGACACAGCAAATCTGCATGGGAAAATCTGCTGCATCAACAACTTCAGCCTGTCTTCGGAGGGCGCTACTGCTGCGGGGCACAACCGACACATGCTGGTGAATGTCACCCGCTTCCTCTGCGGCTTCCTGTTCCCCGTCCTCATCATCACAGCCTGCTACCTCACCATCGTGTGCAAACTGAGGCGCAACCGCCTGGCCAAGACCAGGAAGCCCTTCAAGATCATCGTGGCCATCATCATCACCTTCTTCCTCTGCTGGTGCCCCTACCACACCTTCTACCTCCTGGAGCTGCACCACGCCTCACTGCCTGGCTACATCTTCAGCCTGGGTTTGCCCCTGGCCATGGCCATGGCCATCGCCAATAGCTGCATGAACCCCATTTTGTACGTCTTCATGGGTCAGGACTTCAAGAAGTTCAAGGTAGCCCTCTTTTCCCGCCTGGTGAATGCCCTGAGCGAGGACACAGGTCACTCTTCCTACCCCAGCCATAGAAGCTTCACCAAGATGTCATCCATCAATGAGAAGACTTCAGGGCAGGAGAAGACCAGTATGCTTTGACCTCAGCCTGGAGAGCCCCCCTATGGAAACTTCCCACCCAGGAATGCTTTCTGAGGACCAAGGCAAGAACCCCTTTAGGACTCACCGGTGCCTGCTGCATTTGGCAGGGGGTTGAGCAGTGTTTGAAGCTGCAAATCCAGGGCCCAAAGCCCTTTTTTTCCAAGAGGGATGATGGACAGAACCTACCACATTGCTCACAACCTTGGTGGACCAGCAACCCGTGCTTCTTGGGAGACCAGCCTTGATGGTCTCAAAGTAAAACAGCAATTATTCTCAAAAGCACTGCCTTGCGCTAGGGTTGATACAAGGCACACCCTAGAAATGACACAAACACTATACAATACCCCTTCCTGGTGTGAGTGGGGCCGTCAGAGCAATCCCAGCATGATGGAGATCACACCTTATCCCCGTGTGCCTTTGTCAATAGCAACCAGAGACTGCTGCCTCGGGAGTCCTTTGCTCTGGGCCCAGATGCACTGGTTACCTTGGAGATAAAGGTGACGTACCCACCCACGGACTCCCAAGATCATGGATCTTCAGGTCAATCTTCAGCGTCCCAAGAGGCCAGGTGGACTCTGCAAGCACAAGACAAGCTGAGGCTGCAATGAGGACCCAGAGGCCAGGAAAATGAATCTGAAAGGCAAGCAAAGGCCTCTCAAAGGAAGCAGCGCCGCCGTCTCTGAAGCAGCTGACCCCACAACTCCTCGGGGGGGGGGGGGGGGGC